GAGATTTTAAACCTCATTTTGGAAAAGCATTTGGTGAATTTGATCAATCCTACGTCTTTGGGGTTTGAAAAATCAACGCAACGTGACCCTTTATGTTTGTTAGGAAAAACCTTGGGCCCTACTTTTCTAGGTCTTTTCGATACGAGTTTTGAGAACTGATCAATTGTCATTTTCGGTGTTTTAGATGGATCAGTGCCTCCTCTCTCTCACCCCATTTTTGTTCTTTTCTTTCATTGTTTCTTGGTTCGTTCTTTTTTATGTTTATGTCTGATGCATAAGTGTCTACGTATAGCCTTTTGCTATACGTGAAACCTTCAAGCAAGGTCGCAAGTAGTCGTTTTGGGGCGTACGGTGGTGATGATAAAGGCACACCGAAGAAAGAGCAGAAAGATGCGCTATCTTATAACATCAAGATCCAGACATTTGATGAAAAATAGGATAACGGTATCCTTCACCGACATAAGTCTAACGGGAGTTGGGTCGAACCTCCTCAGGTTGTTGGCAGTCCCACGCCCGACAATGTAATCGACTCGTGGAAAACAAAAATTTTTAAAATATATATATATAAGTTTTGATAAACCCTTTTCAAGCAAAAACATATTTTTCTACGAAACAAAAATTGATAACTCTTCTTTGCATGTTTAAAATTTGTATGCATGTTAAAAACATAAAACATACTTTAAAGTTGATTGTTCACGTGAAGAATATTTGTTTAGGTTGGGAAATAGCCCATTAAGTGAGGTTCAAGTCACATTTCTAGACGAGTGGCGGGTTCTATACATTCGGGTGACCGAGTAGCCTTCGCGGACCCTCGAGTATAAATATATATCTGAGTCTAGCCCCATACGAGTGCTTGCGGTCCCCCTCACTCGAACTTTTTTGTTTTATCGAAGTTTTGGGACAGGGCACTCGTGTTACTTTTCCTTTCTTTCGGGATTTCTCCAAGATTTTTGTAGATTTTTTTTCTTTTCTTTTACTTGAGTCTTTTCTCGTTGATTTTCTCGACTTTTCCGTCATGTGTCGTTACACTCTTCTTCAGATTTCTTGGACGACGTTTCTTTCAGACTTCATTTTTTATGATGCATTTAGACTTGCTATACTTAAGGAATAGCGGATCTCATAGGCGTACAGGTTTGCTTTACATTTTACAACGCTTCATTTTTCCTGTTTCTACCTGCTATTGTTCTTTCTGTACAGCATGTTATACTATTCTTGTTTCTGTCTGCTACTGTTCTTCCTGTATAGCATGTTATATTATTCATGTTTTTACCTGCTACTGTTCTTCCTATACAGCATGATATATTATTCTTGTTTTCTACTTACTACTGTTCTTTCTGTACAACATGTTATACTAGTCATGTTTTTGTCTACTACTGTTCTACATGTACCCTACTGTTTGTCATGTATTGCACATTTTATATTACATAGCTTTAAGCATGTATTCTTTTATATAGGACATTTAGAGGACTACAACCATAGAGTCGTTTGATTTGACATCATAACTGGACACCCTAGAAAACTTAAACTCGTCACGGCAAGGAGCTTGGAGCGAATATCGTGGGCAGCACGACGAGGAACAACTTCAAGGTGGATCTACAACAGCAAAACACATTCACATCATCTATCACCTTCTTTAGTTTAAATAACAACTCATAGGATCACTAGGCTTTTTGCACAACTCTGTTGTGCAATTATAAGTCTTAACGCTTTAGGATTCCAAGGTTACTGTACTGTACGGTGTAAATCCTTCTATCTTTTTAGGCTATTTGCACAGTTCGATATTGTGTAAACATAAGCTCTAAATCTTAAATAATCTGCATGATTGAAATATCAAATAAACATCACTTCAAAGATATAAAGCCGAATATTATGATAGTTGGGAGTTCACCGGGGTTTTCCCCAGATCTGTGATATCCCCTACTTTTCTTCCCTTTGGATTCCTTAAATAATTGTTCCTATTTTGAGTCATTCCTATTTGATTTTCCCATGCCCAATCGTGAAAACCTAAACTTTGAAATTTTGAAAGCAAAACCACTTGATCTTAATCGAGAGTTTTCTTAAGTGACCACCGGTCATTTAAGATGTAATTAACTATAGGGGTTTGCCTCTATAGGGAACCTGGAACCCAGATAAAATAAACCCTATCTAATTTTTTATGTTAGATAGGGGAACTTGTTGGTCTTTTTATAAAATATTTTGCAGACCAAAACGGATGTCACAAATTCTTTAGTCTAGGTGATTGAATGCATATTACAAGTGATATATTTATTTCTTCGGGATAAGTGTATTACCTGTAGTATTGTATTCAATCATTTTAAACTATTTAAAATGTGAGACCTGTTTGATCTCACCAATTTTAAAATTAAAATGTTACTTTTAAAAATCAAAAGAGTTATATTTATATTTAAATTATTTTCAAAATTACAAAATCTTCACTTTTCCAAATCACGAAGGTAAAAAAAAAAAGGGCCGACACTCACCAAGTTGTTAGCTGACTCCCACCCCCTCCCGAAAACAAAAGGCAGAGGCAGGACTAAATTGGGTCGTCCCTAACCTTTTTCGCACCTTGGTGGTTTTGATTTTTTGATCTTATATGTATCTTTTTTTTTTGGATTTTGTGTGTGTTGTACCGTGTGAGTTGGGTGCCTACTTTTAGGCTCACTCACAGAACCTATATGTAATTTTTCAGACACAACAAAATCGCCATCTTTCTCTCATTCGTTTGAGTAGGCGGAGGACATCAAGAAACCTGTTATAAAGAATGGGAAGTCTGTCATATTTTTTACAGAAATTGAAGGTATTCAACTTGTTTCCTCCTGTCGTCTGAATTTGGTTAGGAAATTTCTATATGGTCATCCCAAAATGGAGCTCATTCGCAAAGAATTTGAACTTATGCACCTCGTTGAAGAGTGGGAAATTGGACTATTAGATGGGAGGCATATTCACATTCAAATTAGTAATGAAGATGATTACATGCGCTTATTCTCTAAAAGAATAATATGGATTGATAACAAAGCAATGAAGATTCTGAAATCGTCTGCAAATTTTGACTCACATACGGAACCGCCAGTCATTCAAGTTTGGATTCGCCTCCCTGGTCTGATATTTCATTATTTTTCTCAAAAAGTATTATACTTCATTGCCTTAGCTTATGGAAAGTCACTCAAAACGGATATTCCTACTTTTAATTTTTCATGTCCATCTGAAGCCAGAATACTTGTGGAAAGAGACATCACTACACCCGCTTCTGAGGAAATCTGGTTAGGCACACAACACCAAGAATATTGGCAGAAAGTAGAGATTGAGTCTTTTTCGTCATATTGTTCGAACTCTCGTATGTTCGGACACTCCGGTTCTCAATGTCATCATCTGTACCCCCACGTCAGACCAAAAAAGCAAATTGCTCCGCTAGAGTTTGTGATTTTATCTCCTCCTGATTAGCTCCAAGTTTTTGACACTATTGATCATCAGAAGGATACCCCAGACGACGTCACTTTCCCCGCAGGTAATATGTCAATCATTCAGTCCCCACTTGTAGCTCCCCCGTCTTTGGAACCTCCTATCGTGGGGGAAAAAGAGATTCTCCAGACCCCGCCTGCTTTAGAACATATCACTGATAATACAAGTGAAAATACTTTTACTGTTTCACTATTGTCTCATCACGTTCAAAAAAATGTTGGTATTACTCAGGCTCATGGGGATCATGATGTGCAACGACCTAGAACTATCTGACTACCTTTGGAATCTACTGATCAAATAAGTCAATCATCGGATAAGGAATGGTAGGTCTACACATCCGGAGGAAGATGAAAAATGAAAATTTACTTGAGCTCAGGAACCTGATGGATGACACTTTGGTTACTACGGACAATGGTACTCAACTTACTAATTTGTTAGCCGACTCACTTCCGCGAACTAGGAGCGGGAGGACTAAAGTGGGACGTCCCTAGCACCTTTGTGCCCTTTTGTTACTTTTGGTTTTTTTTTTTTTTTTATGTATCTTTGCTTTATTTGAGTTTTGTGTGTGTTGTTTTGCATGAGTTAAGCTTTCTTTTAGGCCTTCTCATGCAACATTTCTGTATCTTTCTTCCGTATTAATATATTTACCCTTGGGCTTTAAAAAAAAAATATGTCTTATGTTCTTTTTATGGAGAAGTATATCTATTTAAGGACAATATTGTAGCCCATTTCAATGCCATAGAGCCAAAAGATATTGTAAAACGTTATGTTGACACTGGAAAACAAAAAATACAAGGTCAAAATAAATAGATAAACTTTCTCTGCAGATCTCAGACTAGAAACAAAAACATCGTGTAGTTTTGCTTCTCATAAAAGCTAAAAGAAGCTTATGAAATCAATGCTCAGAGAGAAATAAAAAAACAAAGTAAACTACTGTTCCGAGGCTATGTCAAACAGGCTAAACGATGATGTAATAATTCGACAAATACCTACAAACATCTAAGCAGATAAAAGTAGTGAGTATATTGTCTATAACATAATCCGTGCTAGTGAGGTCCTTTTGACATGAAAAATAACAAAATTGAAACCAGGCCCAGAAAAGAGATATAATTAACTAATCCTAAAACAGGATCAAAAGGCATCAAATTCGTCACGCTACTGCTATAAATGGAAGATTTTGACACGCCAATGCCTTCACTAAGAAACCATCAATACTAATAAGATATAACACTAGTTTTTCCCTTAAAGCAACAAAAAGATATAACATTTCACATTAAAAGGCATTGGAGCATTCCTTCTACATCCAAGAAATCAGTAAAAGTTAAAGAAAATAATCTGTAAAACATGAAAATAGCATAAATAAATAAATGAATCAGCCACAGAGAAAAATCTTACCTATTTAGAACATTTGATAGACACATACAAAAAGAATTAAAATATTACGAGCATAATTATAGACATTAATCATTTTATGCTGGGAAAAGTATCTCAACATTGCAAAGTACAGGTCTGCACGTGTGAACGCTAGAAGACAAACTGACCTCTGGAATCTTGCCTCCAACTCATTACGGATATCAATTGTAAGTGGAACAGAAGAACCATCTTCATTGCACAAAATATGTGTGCATCTTGAAATTATACTTTCTGGAGCACCTTTAGAAAACATAATCTCCTGTTGCTTCCTTGAACAGAGAACGCTCATCATTTTTCGGTCCCGAGAAAACTCCAAAACGGAGATCTACACCAAAGACTTGGATATCAGGAATAATTATAAACTAAAAAAATTTAAAATTAAGAAAAAAAAAAGAAACTAGTTTGTATTATGTGCAAATTTTGACAATGAGCATTAGTAGCTTGCAAAGCTCGAACGGTAAAATACAGAAAAGATGGAACCTTTTTGAACTGGTGCTCCCAATAATGGTTGCAGTAAGAAGCTCGCTCATGTTTACTCAACATATTCAGAGCTGAAGGCATAGAATCAAAGCCAGGTAGGCCAACCTGATGACATTTCATACGAATAAATAGCTATTCTTTGCAAAATTATTGTCCCTTCTAAGCAATTAAAAGAAAAGTCATCCTCTTGCCAAAATCAACTGACCTTTTCGACTAGTACCCGGAGAGCAACTTCAGTTGACTCACCGATCTTTTCATAGCTCCTCTTATCCGGATTATATTGCAGAATGGACTCGTTGCAAAGAGCTGAGCACATGGCTATATGAAGTAGGCATGGATACTGTGCAGTGAACTCGAGCTGCATATATAGGCTTAGGTCACAAGGAAAAACACTCCAAAATTTTTAATAAATAGAACATACCAATTTTTAAATATTTTTCACTTTATGCTTAGTTTGTCATACACGTTGTTCAGTAGGGAAAACAAGAAGATAGAGCTCTTGTGAAATTAAGTTTTTCAATAATCTTAAGAATTACCTAACAAGTTGAATGTTTCATCCAAGAATTGAAGAATGAGATTATCCTACTTTTAGCAGATAAAAAGTGAATATGCAGGAGTTTATGCTAAAAAATATTAAAATATAAACTAATAATCTATAACTTGCTGTAGAAAAGCAAAACAAAAGATGGAATATAAAGCATTCCCCTCTCCATTACAAACAAAAACTAACACTGCTACAATATTTCAAAGTTCCTATTTAAAATTTTCAAAATAAAAAAGTCAAAGTTATCGAAACTTAATCAACCTTATTCCATTATCTAAATCATGGAATATGCAAGTCTGTAAATACAACCTGCATCCCGGCAGCATCAAAAATCAGACCCTCTGGTGCAAAAGTCGTCCCACTAACAGTGTACTCATGAGTAATAGGACTGCGATGCACAGATCCGACAACACAAATCTGTATATTATTGCAGAGAAAATAATGCCCATTAATTAATGAAATTTTGACGCTAGAATTCTATAAAAATACTGCAAAATTATCAGGAGCAACATATATAACAAGTTTAAAAACAAACTATAAACAATAAAGTTTAGTCAAGACCAAAAGAGTAACAACTCAAAGTTGCAAGAGGGCGTAAAAAGCCTGATCCCAAAAACGTTCAGGTTTCAGTAGAAGAATAATAAATTGGGCTACCATGTGAGCATCCTAAGATAGTAAGAACAATTTTCTGTGTTCTCTTATATGGTACAATTTCTCATGATTGGGATAATTCTTCAATCATAAACATAGGATGAACACTTTGCAAATAATCTTCCTTGGAAAATAATTTATGGGAATATTGAAATCACGCATCATGTATCATGTATCGTTGCCTGAATGCAGTGTTTCTGCCAATATCACTTTTGATTGTTTCCCAAGTACCAACAATTCAACCATCCAATATTGCACTGTTATTGTTTCTCTTGAATTGTGACATTTAAATCGGTCAACTACCCTCCAAATGGAGCCCAACCACCACGCAGAATACTTTTCTATTATTTAGAAAAGCTGTCATCCAACAGTTAACCTGCCAAAGCATGCAATTTAGAGGAAACTTGACCTACAAATCATTTAACTGGAGCTTAAGACAGGCGAAGTTTGACAGTCCGTGCAACTAGCTGGAATCTATCAGCGCCAAGTAAATTTTCATTTTTACCCTTGTACTGTTTCTCTTCAGCTTTTGTTAACGTTAACAAATGAAAAATTGCCAGAGTTACTTGCTGAAAACATGAGGTCAAATGTGTGTTCACTTCAGAAGATGCACCAGTAGAGAATAGGGTGTTGCTTTCCCATACAGGGTAGAAAATCTACACCGCTTTCTGCAATAGAACGTGCCTAGTGAAGCATCTAGGAGAAGAAACATTTCTAAAGTAAAAAACCTCAAGTAAAGTGCATGATCTCTCCTCGAATCTACCATAAGTTTTGATTAAGCAAAATCAGAACACAAGGACCCTAATTGCATATATTAGTTCAACTAAATAGAATACATAACAGAAAGTGAGAGCCTTGAGTCTAGATAGAGACATGATATCTTTTGAGCCTTCAAAGAAGATTTCTAAGGTGATGGTTAAAAAACAGAACAGAAGCTATGGTATATGGTGGAATTGATGAGCTCCTAAAAAATACAGGTCGGAAATAAATCAACCAAGAAAGTCAAAGTCCTAAGGAATGCAAGAATGCTGCACATGTCTGAAAAAAAATGACTAGCAGGGAGTAATAAACATTAGAATAATGTGCTGGCAGTTTTATTATACTATGATGAAAAGAAATCACCCATTTAAATCAGCATTCCTATTAAAAAGTGGTTAAAAAATTCTATCATAAGGACAAGCATTTTTAAATTTTAAAGGATCTATCTGGGGCGGTATTTCAATAATTTGCTTTATAGAATACTGCCACACATCAATTTAGCTACTATTTTCTTGTCGTTTTTAGAAAAAAAAATTATAGAGAACTAGTTTTAAACCAGATAAGTTAGTGTGGTAACCTTTAAAAAGTTCATGTCCAACTGCTTCAAAAGAGAATAATTGTAATACCCACATCAGCTTTCAAAAAAACTTTTTAGTATAATAATTTTATAATTTCCATTAAAATAACTTGTAGCAGTCATGAACCGACCCGAGGGCCCGACGATTAACAATATCAAGTATCTTTATGATTGAATAGCAATTAAAGAACATTACAATTGATAATTTACAGAAAAAACTATGCATAGCAAACAAGGGTTTGCTCAACTCACTTTTGACACGGACATCATGTTTGTTGTTAGGGTACCAGTCTTGTCACTACAAATAATAGTTGTGCACCCTAAGGTCTCCACAGAAGGTAGAGATCTCACAATTGCATGTAAACGTGCCATTCTTTTAGTTCCAAGAGCCAGGCACCTAAATGAACACAAAAATTAAGCCAAGAAAAACTAAAAGAAAATAACTATGAGAGACATCAAATTCATCGAACGTGGAATAAGCAAGGACGCAAACAAAAAACAAGAAAGATTTCTCCAATAACAAGTATTCACAATTCATAGTTTTTAAAAAGTGAAACTGGAAAAATCAATTGCCAATTGAGAAATTCTGCAAACAATAAGCTTATCTGCTTTTTAAAACTGAACAGCTATTAAGAGCAATACAAAGGCTTGAATTGCTGGGCACACATGTGAAACATTATTAAAGCAAAATTGGAATAATTCAAGGAAAATTTTCATGAATTTAATTATTAACAAAAACTAAGAAGTGAAGTGACAGATGATAGCTCTTCAAAATAAGGGAATACTCTTTCACTGGATTATCACTTGCCATGCTTAAATAGAAAGCACTTCACACTTTACATCAGTGTAAATTTATTTCAAAAACTTATCAGAACTCCAATGAGAGTTTCAATATCACAGACCCTGCAGCATGTCTTAACTTTTCATGGCAAAGTAGTTCATAACATCAATTGGCTAGCCCATGCAAGACATTTGAAGAGCAATAAAAAGACAACTTCATCATATAAGGGTCATTCAAACGCAAAAATAACTTTCACCAAATAGCAGTTTTCCTTAAAATGTGGCTGATGGAGATTTACATGAACACAGAACGAACCTGTACCTTATAAATAACTTGATTAGATAATGATCATACCCCTTTCTAATCTAATTTACCTAGTGTTGTTTTTTTTCTCTTTCCTCGTGAACCTTGACTATTTTAAAATGTATCATTCTTGCCTTCGGTAATGTTTGCATTAAATTACTTGACAACAAAAAACAAAGGTAAGAAATAATGAAAGATGCTTACTATACGCTCAAAACAGACATGAGAATTTTCTCATATAAATATAGTCAATCTAGCAAAACCAAGTACACTCACGTAGTAACAACAGCTGGAAGCCCTTCAGGAATTGCTGCAACTGCAAGAGCCACTGCAACCTATTCAAATCAAGCATCAGAAGATAGAAAGAGAGGAATGTAAAACAGCTAGTGCTGGCGTTAGTTGAGAGCATTGATGGAACCATTGGACTCAGGGTAGCAAGTCTTTCACTAGCCTAGATCTGAGACACCAAGTAGTTTATATGGAATGAAAGTTTAGCCCTTAAATTCACCCGTTATTTGAAATTATAATTCAACCACTAGCTAAAAGTATTAATCTACACCATTAGTGTAGAAATTACTAATTATAAGACAGAATACTCGCTAAAAATATCAGCTTTAATAGGCTGCCTTGCGGTTATGAATGCAAACAAACAATTAAATAGTCTTCTAATATCACACTGTGAATTTGTCGTTAGACATGGATCAATTCTATGTAAAAATAAGGCATACTCAATGCATCAATCCCCATTGATATAAAATATTAAAGAGTTATTGCATGCAATCTCAATCCGCATTTGCAGATAGGTTGTTTCCGGTCATGTTTGAGTTTGAATGTTATCTTCAAAGAGTTGTAATTGTGAACAACCAAAACTTGCAATATCAACAAAACTGTCATCAAATTGACTCATGACCTGGCCATATCTGGAAATTTTAAAAACTCAACCTTTTAGCTTGAGCAATAAGAATCTTTATAATTTGTGGCATTGAAAAAAATTAATCAAACAACCTACAGAACCTGGCATTAACATATGTTTCTCAATGATAGAATTGTCGTTTATGCAGGGGTCAACTTTCTTGAAACTAGACTTCATGGGAAAAGTGACATTATTCGAAATATTACTAGATCCATCGAGCAAACATAATAATTGACAAGTTAGCCTTTAGCGAAAAGAGAAAAAAAACGGGATTCCTGCCTGGATGTATGATAAATAGCATATTCAATTTTTGAAATGTTTTTATTTACAAGTTAAATTAATAGAAATTACTTCTGGACTTCATGATAAGCATTATTTAGTTTGTAAGATAAAATTACACTTAATCATGATAATGAGCTAATATAAGGTTTTGGAAGGTTGAAGAGCATCGCGAACAGAGCATATGGCATAGAATTAGTTAATCAGCTTACTATGATAGTTAAGATTTTAATTTTAGATATTTTTCAACCAAAGTTTAAAAAGGCGAAAACGGAAATTGAGGCAATTTGCTTTATGGCATAGAATTAGTTAATCACCTTACTATGATAGTTAAGATTTTAATTTTAGATATTTTTTCAACCAAAGTTTAAAAAGGCGAAATAAAAAATTGAGGCTATTTGCTTTATCAAGTCGAGGCGTAAACTCTGGTCTACTCGTCTTTGGCCGACATTATCCCTTCGACACAGTGGTTGGTGAACTAATCATCACAATTGTCCGAGGTTGTAGAAAAACTCTGCTGGCGCAAGTAAAGTGGCGTTCTCTGCTGATACCATTAGAAGTTGAAATCCTCATCTAAGCATGTACATATAAGCATTCACATATAAGCATTCACATATAAGCTATTTCATTCTTCATACAAATTATTCTGAAATATTTCACTGCAATCTACTATCATGTATACTTCTCTATTGTGTAATTATTCATCATGCATATCTTTTATATCATTCATATATCTATCTCATGCATCTCATTTATATCATGCATATATTTCCTACATGTCTATCTTATATATAATGTTTATCTAAATATCAGTCATCTCATGCATGCATAATTTTTCTTACTATATTTATCATGCATATCTTTCATATCTAGCAATATGAAAAATCTGTTGCAATATAAATCTAACTGAACTAAAACATACATATAAATTAACATACATTCTGAAATAAAGAAAATTACTGAAATTTAGAAATGTAATTATTCGCTTCAGTTGTCATGCTAAACTCTTATTATTTGATAGCAAGCTAGAGGTTGTGGTGACTTTTACGTGGTGATTAATAACCTATACAACATAATATTAAACTTAAGACTCAAGAATACTATTAACTTAGAATTAATTTACCTAAAATTTATATGTCACTTTATAGTGAAGGTTCACACTCTCGCCTCAAGCCTGTCGCCCGGTAAATAACCTAGAATCCACAATTAACTTTAGATTTTAAAATACCTAGGTTAATAAAGTAACTTAACCAAAAATATAAATGATTTGCTACAACACAACCTTAAACAACCTTCTTGGCAACCAATCTTTCTCTAAAGCTACCAAATTTACTTTCCATCACCTCCAACCACACTCTCCTATGTTAATATCATGCTAGAATCCTTTTGAAAGCTCGCAAAAGTCGTTTGACCCTTCCGGGACATAATCGGCGCCTTCGACGGCTACCAGAAAGGAAAAATACACGAAAACAAGAGAAAACTCAAAATGAAAACAACAACAACAACAAAGCCTTAATCCCACTACGTGGGGTCGGCTACATGAATTTTTTTCTCCACTGCGACCTATTTAGTGTCATATTTTCATTTAATTCTAATAAATTAAGATAATTTTTAATAAAAAAAATCAAGTTTTCCTAGGTCTACTTTTGGCTTTCTTAACATAAGTCAAATCTAAAACATCTACTCTCCGAATCGGATCAGATGGTCGATGTTTAATGTGACCAAACCAAAAGTGATATATATGCACAACATTACTTAAATTATCATAAATATTGAATGTTTATAAATATATTGATTCTTATGCACATGGGAAATTAATATTTATTTTGTGAAAGTGATACTTTTATTGGATGCTTGTATGTGCATTATTGGCTATAATGGAGTCACTCTTTGATGATACTAGTGAAGGAACACTAAGGTACTTGTGAACGTAAATAGAAAATAATATTTATGTTGATGTGTCTTAATTGATACAACTTTTAGACGGTGCTCCTATGATGGTTATAGATGTATAAAATGATATTGGTATGTTATTGATATAGTAAAATTCAATGATAGCATCTCAAATGTTAATATTGATTTATTAAAATTTTAGCTAGCATGCATTTGTTTTTTTCCTCGTATTACTGAAGTTTAAAAATATGACTATTCACTAGCTTGTTTAACTTATTGTTATTTAAAACTAATTTTTTATGTTAATTAAGTGATTAAAGATGGGCGATAAAAAGAATAATATTTATAAAATACACATACAACTAGTTACGAGTTAATTTAAATATATTGTTTAATTTAATTTAATTAGTGATTTTTTTATCTGTTAACAGCTAGTTATAGAAAATGAACATCGCAATTTCAATTCACCATCCGACTTTTTGTTCCTGTCTTGGTTAATTTGAAGCCCAAAACCGATCGTGACAAAAGTGATATCAGAGCTAAGGTTTTAATTAATTAATGTAACCTAGACGAAAGAGCCAACAAGTTAATTATAAAAAACTTAATAAGAAATGACTTGAGGCCTGTTCTAAATTTCAGGAACAAAATTGTTGTAAGTTCGGAAGATTGTAATGTCTCATTTTTTAATTACTCAAGAGAGGAATCGATGCATAGAGCAGAGGAAGAAAAAATGAATAAACGAAGAAGCAAGGAGACGAAAAACCAAATTGAGGCAGGAGATGAAGCGAAAGGGTCGGAAGCCAAGGAGGTGAGTTCTTCTATAAAACATCATAGTGGACTTACCTGCAGCCTCGAGCGACTATCGTAAGAAGGATAGAGGGATCGAGCAGCTAGGGCCTAAGTGAGTGCGAGAAGAGTGTAAGTCAAAGGCCATATAAACTATTGATAAAGGTTCCCCCCCAACATGGTAGTTATCAATAGCCCCATGATACCACGATTCCCTATATTTTGTCATCGTCTATTCAGAACGGTTCCAGGATTTCATCGCCGCCTGAACATTAGGAGTCGGGAATACCACATCTATTCATAGCATACTTGCAAACACTCATGTAATAGTCTCCCCATAACATTCCTTATATTTTTTATTAAACCATAATACATATAGTAAACATTCATAGGCATTTCAAACATCATATACACAAGTTATATCAAATGAATATCTGCAGGTAATTAGTTCATAAGCATGGACACATGTATCATAGCATAGTAGCATCGTATATGTAGTAAAAGAAATCAACAGACATTCATACATTCCAAACAAATATTTATCTACAATATGCAAAAAAGTCTAAATGCAACAATATCGAATATATACATAAAACCTATAGAATGTTATTTTTACTAAATTAGAATAAGATGATTTCACCTGACTTGACGGAGCGGCATTGCGATGAGTTCCCTCACGCTCGTCTCGAGCTCGATCCCTCGCTTAAACATTATGAAATCGGTGTACAACACAGAATTTTGTGAAATTTTAGCTCGTATTGTTATTTAACCAAAAACATTTTTTAAATGTCAGCGCATACCTCAAAAAGACTTCTCAGCATAAAATCAACTTTCGGAAACTTCCTATTCTTCTCAACACTTCCTAACACTTCAATCTTCTCATCCCCTGCACTAATTTTGTGCTAAAACCAATATGGAAGCTCGCCAACCAATTTAGACACCTCAAACACAAGTATGGTGCCTTCGACAGCTAACGGAAAAGAAAAATGCACAAAAATTGAGGCAAATACCAAGATAGAAGCAACCGAAAAGAAATGAAAGTCTCAAATAGCGTAAAAGAGGGATTTGCACTTACAGAATTCTCCCAAAAGCTTTGAATCTTGCTATGCAGCACTCGACTGTCGGCTAATTACCTTCTGCTATAGTGCAAGGTCGCACAGGAGCTCTGGGAACCTTCCCAACGAGCAAATTCGGGAACAAGGAAATAAAGAGTGCGACATATAACTCATGCCCCCTTACAGCCGCATGATCTCTCATCAAATTGATGCATGCATGTATATGTGGGGGTAAGATTGCCTAGCTACAGTGAGGAATACAGGACAGGAGAGATTAGAAATGTAATTAAGGTTAAATTGTGTTATTTATATTTATATCATCAAAATTTTATATCTCACAATCCATACATAATTAATATAGTGTTTTATATGAAATTGATTGATTTCATGCATAGAATTTCATAACATT